ATGGCACATACGACCCCCCTCTCCCAACGACCAAATACGACCCCCTCCCCAGCGGAAAAGTACGACCTCCCTATGTGTTTCACACAACGATGCTGTACCCTATTGGGAGGATACGCATCACTCCTCAGGGTAGTGTCCTCCTCTCTTTCTATGCTACCGATTCATGCTCGTCTATGGCTGCAATTACTTCTATAGCATGAGACTGCTATTGCAATGGCAGCGTCGTCGTGCGTCATCACGAAGTCTGAACGCTACCTCAGAAAAATGATCCGCCACTGAGAAGGGCGCTGTGGTCTAAGGGACCCCTAAATGCGTTTTCTGGTCATTTCAACATTAGTTAGGGTTTTCTGAGAACGCACGTTTTTTGTGAGAAGGACCATAAATGTTTTGCACTTTAGGTCGAACAATGGTATTTGAACGATTGGCAGCGAACTCATGAGCTCTATAATTATCGTTTCGGTTATCTGAAGCTGGCACCGCTCAAACCAAATCAGAACGAGCTCAATCCAGGCACACTTCTGTCAGGGTAACTCTTCATCTTTCTTGTGGCTACACTACGCACATGGGCAGAATTATGAGTAGAACCACGCGACTATACTGCGATGATGGGAGGGGGCTGTCACATTCACTTCTCTATTTTGGGGGCTGTCACATTCACTTTTCTATTTTCCTTTACTTAAGCCTCGTCTCGGCTCCAATTTCGTTACATTGGCTATGGACCACGAATAATCCAGAGTTCTCCACGACTACTTACTCTCAAGGTGATGAAACCGCAAGAGTGGAGTTTGTGAAGCAGAAGTCGCTGGAGATGTGCCATGACTGGTAAGACAGTTCTTTATCCTTGCACACCGTGATCGTAATAAGAACCTATCAGTCTGGTCCCATTTTTTAGGTATGACGAAGATGGTGCTCAATGGAATTTCATTCGTGATACCGAGACTAACTCATCGTGTCCATGCATTGAAAGACAAGCGATGGCCGATCTCGGGCGGTTCATGCCACATCCCAGATGCTCTCAAGTGAGTATTATGCTCTTTTCTTTTCTACAGTCTCTTTTTACTTCCTGAGCAGAGGCAACGCTGCAACGATTGGAAAAGCCGGCACTATTCGGCCTGGGAGGGGCTTTTCGCATTTTTGCTGTTTAGGTCACTTAATAGGTCTCATTTTGATTGCACCTGTAAACTCTTAAAAAGTTGTGAGATGAACAAGTAAGCCACTCTGGTTACAAGATCCTACAGGTCTTGTAAGATGGCATGTGCAGGCTTCGTTAAGGTACCATTCGGTGCCCCCACCAAGCCGAACCGCGCGGAGAAGTCTTGAGGTAATTCATCGTGCGGTCCCGGGGGTCAAAATCGGCTCTCAAGCGGGCCAACCAGGCCTCCCCCAACTCGCCCCCCCCTCGGATAGGCAATTCGAACTAGATTCATCTGGGAGGATAAAAACATTGACTTGTACATAAGCTGGCCTGACAGAACATTGTATGGAACTTTTCGCATTCAATAAGCAATTATGATTCTGAACAAAAGTAGAGTGCGTGTCGCATACCAAAAGGGCCCAGTTTTAGTGTCATTCGAAGCCAGCACTTCTTCGTGCTCATGTGTAGTCAAGAGAAAGCTGAAGGAATAGAGTTTCGCTTCTTATACAATGGTCCCTTGAGATTCATATAGCCCGCAGGCGTTCGCCGAATAGGGCTGCTACAAACTTTACATTATTTTCAAATTGTCCAATGGTAGGCCTTTCAGCATACTGTGCTTATGTTCACTGTTTTCTGGGCCACGAAGGACATTCAACTTTTGCGGGTCAGAAAGAAGATCTCTGCTAATTACAGGCCTTTCGAGATATCACGTGTACGGTAGCGATTGGAGCACGGAATTGTTACATGTCAGCACAAAATATCTATGGCTCCTACGCTGGCAGAGGACAGGGTTATGAAAGTGAAAATACTGCGTGAGTATCACAAATATGATATTCATTCAGATTTATCCGGAGGCTACCTTTAGTTTTCTGGATGAGCTAAATGCAACTACCCCTCTGAATGAGTGGAGTGGAGTTTTGTCCGCTGCAGACACAGGGCATATCAAGGCGGGGAGGGGCCCGCGCCGGCGCGGCGGTGGCACTTGTAGGTTTGGCGCGACGCCAGCCGTTCTCCGGCCAGCCGGCTGAAGAGGAGGAAACAATTGCTGGAAAACAGGATGTACCTCGCCACAACCTAGGCCCTCTGAACTAGGCCTTCGCCCATCCGTTAGGAAAAAGACTTGTATTGTTTTTGTTTTTGTTTTTGTTGTTTGTTTTTTGTGGTTGCTTTGTTTTTTTTGCGCATGGATTTCAGTTCAAGGCATGGCAACGCTGGTCATTTGTAGTTGGGGGGGGGGGGGGGCGGAGAAAAGGAGACGCTGGATGCGCTCCGCACTTCTCAAACTGTAAAGAGAATTGTAGGGGAGAGCAAGAGGACGCTAATGAGAAATGGCAACGGCAGGGTTGACTCCGCCCTAACGATCGCCATGGACTGCGCCCTCAGATGTTTTCATGATATCCCACGATCAGCTTTCGATTCGATTGTTTTCGTGACAAATCTTAGGATGAAAAAATGTCGCAACATTTAGACGTTTCCCGACTCACTACGGTCAAGTCTGTTGTTATGACGATGCTGGCCATCTGATGCAGACCAGCTATCAACCTGTGATCAAAGTCACGCCAGATGTCCCGTACAATCCCAGGATTTCCGATGAGGGCTTACGAGATTATTGGCACAGCTCCTATATGGGGCAATATGAGTGGGTCTTACTTTACTTTACAGCCAGCCAGTCAGAGAACTCCGCACGGTCGGAGAAGAAGGCATGCTTCGAAAAGATAGCAATAACCTGAAAGTTGCTCATTCGATACACTGACTCATCGATAATGCTACACTAAATCCAGGTGTTCAATTCTTTTGAATAGTTTGGGATAGAATGAAAAGAGCGCTTTGTTCTGTTTGCTAAACTTTCCCTTAGTCGCGCCCTCCTTTTTGATATCAGCTGCTACCTTATCCGGAACGAAGAGGCGTGTCCTATTTTTCTCGACTGTGCGGCGGAGGCTCCTTCTAGGTGTGATATTTCCCCTATTTTGGTACATTTGTGGATGACGTTTCTGCGCATGCATAAAGCAGGAGTGACATTTGGTTCAGGAGATGCGAAATATCTACGAAAAACTCACCCTGAAAAATACCATCAAATGAGCGCACAAAGCACGCCCTCCGCATCAGCAAGATATATGAGTGTGTTTTGGGCTGGCTGCCTCGCCAAGATTCTCTGACAACGTTAACCTTCTGACCCCTTCCAGGTTCCTGGTTTATCAGCCTTCCATAACGACTACATGCCATACTTCTTGTGCTGTAAATTTGCCGATTTCCGTTGTCAAATGTTCTACTGGAGACGACCTTCTAGCGGATGTCAGGAGTACCAACCGCCGGCATACGGTAATTTTTTTGCTACTTATGATGCCTTTTTGATCATATATGTGATGTATCAACTACTAACGCGTGGGGCAATAGTCGACGTTGCTTCACTACATTGAATAGCGGATTTGCTTGTCTAGAAACTTTGGAATTGATACACAATGACCTTGAAGATCCAATACGATAATCTTGTGGGCCGGAGACTCGCCAAACTTACTCTCCATGTCTCATGTGGCAGGGTCCTTCTCGTGCGGAGTACTTAGCGTCAAGAGCGCTCTTATTGGTGCGCAAGATCTTGAGTCTTCGCCCTACTTCTCCGCCCACATCTTTATCGCGGAGCAGAATTTGTGACTTGAGCAGAATTTCTAAGTCATATATATGTGAACAACTTTTAACTACTTAACATTTTTAGGAGAAGGTATGGGCGCCGGCACGTTCAACACGATCGATAATGACAAGTTTATCTTCAATGAGCCGGGAGTCTTCAATGTACTTTACATCCCTCAGACTCTTAAAACACCTGAAGTGAAGATTCAGCTGAGACTTGAGCGATATCCTGATCGGCGAGTGGATTTCAGTGAGTCGGTACAGGACCTTATTCTAGCTAGAACAGCTTTTCGTTGATCGATTTCATTGAAGGTTTACTCGGTCGAGGGATGGCTCAACAGGACCTCGTCCAGCCAACGAACGTGACCGTCATTACTGGTGTTGTGATGGAAGCTACCGGTACCGACAGAGTACATGTCGTCTCACGAAAGGACACCAGACGATTCCGCTATCGAACCAGCATCATTGTCGGAAATATTATGCGTTACTTTGACACGATGAGGCTTCAGCGGTTCAAAGGTCAGTTAGCCTTGATATCATGACCTTCTGGAAGTAGAACTTGAGGGTGGAGTGTCTCATACGTCCTTTATTGGTAGAGTTGATACCGTTGCAATCCGGGGCGCTGAAGCCGCCCTCTACGGAATTTTCTATCTCTTCTACCAATAATGGCCGATTCGAGCAGAAAACAACCAGTGGTAGAAAACGCCGCAGATGGGCTCGTTCGACGTCTCTTGACACCGTACCGGATTGCGATAAGTGCTCACCGGCAGGGTGCCTCTAGATGATCGCCGCCTGACACCCACCTACTCTTCGCCCAAGCTGTGCCTCATTGAGTGTGACTGAATCTCACTCACCACTACTTGGAAGATAAACCTCACAATGAAAACAGATGAGAGATTTCAATAAAGACTCCTTTCAGACGCAGCGCTGACAGTGGAGGAGCTAGGTCTACCGTTGTGCCTTACTCAGTGATGAGGCTCAACCTTTCCCATCAACGAAAAGAGGGACACGCCAGGGAGTCGCAATAGTAGTTCTGACTCCTTCCAGACTGTCACGTGGACCAAGGAACGTCTTAAGTCAAGTGCTCTTTGGCGAGGCGAGGGGTCATGTTTGGCCGCTGGAGGGATGGGGTTCATATTGTGTTTGAGAAAGATTTTTTTCAGTGATTGATTTTTTCGGTTCCCCTCCCCTCACCTCCCCGCCCCGACGGCACTTTTTTGGAACAAACTGCAGAATTCTAGGAACCGAATCACCGAGAAAATGTTAGGATGGGGGTGGCGAAGGAAGGTTGTAATTTGCAAAACTTTTTCTGGTGGCAGGACGTGCCCTCTCGTGAAATACTTCTCTGAGCTTCGAGCAAGGGTTTGAGACAGAGTTTTCAATTTCATGAAACCGAAGTATTCTGCGGTAGAGGGTGATTAATTTTCTTTGTCTAGCAAAACCCTGTGGTGGTTTTTCAAAGGTGAGTGCTGCTAAAAAGAAGCTGAACTGTCTTACTGTGCCCTCCACAACGTTTCCTGCCTAGCTGTATGGTTCCGTCGTTCAGGTGTATTGGTCTATGTGAACAACGTCGAACGAGGTCAACCTGAGATCTACATCGTTCTCGAAGAAGCTCAAATTGGTGTTCGAATCAGAGAGTCCTACGCGATCGACGTTGATCGTTACTCGAATTATCAGGAGAGCATGGGAATGTTGAATGTGGCGCTTAGTGTACCACCACAATATGGAGTGGTAAGGATTCCGATTTGTAGCCATATAGAAAGAAAAGCAAAAATCCGGACTGTTGTACGAAAATCAAACGAATGAGAAAGGGACTGTTTAGGGTGGGGGGAAGGCTCGAAAGCGAAGAAGTACCTCAGCCTCCCGTCTTGCACTCTGCCGTTACGGAAGCGCACCACTAAGCATAGTCCCCTTCTCTCTTCGAAAAGGTTGAACCATCTGTCTCTTTAGAGACCCTCAAGCTATTATTATGGGAGTTATGGCTTATTTTTATGGGCCGAAAATTACGGAAACTAATCGGTTGTCGAGTAACTTCGAGACCCGCCCCACCTCCTCATCATGATTGGCGCAGCCTCGAATTTTGTCATTTGAGCAGGACGGGTACCAAAACCAGAAGGGGCACGCATATTGTCAAAATGGCTCCACAATGTGGACTCGCGCAGAGTGTTTCTCTAGAAATGCAGTTCATCAAGTTTGACGCACTTAACTGTTTACCCATTTCAATGCCGCCTTTTGCGAACTTTTTTCGTGATTTTATTTTGAAACACCTAAATCTGTTCTAGCCTTCCTTCAGTGCCGTCATAATAGGACTAAGAACTCTCCATATTTCAGCGCCCAGGATGGTTGACAGAGACCCGACAAGACCCGCGAGACGGAGATGCGTCAGCGGTACAATCTCCCTCGAGTGTCCGGACTGATGAGGCCATTCCCTGATCAGACGTCAGCGAGTTTCATGCAAACCCTGACCTTGAATGATGTCAATTCAGAGACCTATAGACAGCAGATTATCAATATGTGTGAGTTTCTTGATCAAATCTGCAATAACCGGGACAGGACGCGCTGGTCCTATGGGCGGAGTGCGGCTTAGCATTATGCTTTCCTCGATGTTGAAACTATGAGTAGGCCTAATTTCGTCAGTACAATTATCCGTATGGCGGTTAGTGAGGTGTTCTACTCACCACTCAGTTAGGTAACCAGGGCCGCAGCCGCCAAGGAAGTGCCCTTTTCGCGCCTTGAAAATGCGCAGGAAGCAAGCTGCAAATTCATAAAAAGCTGGAACTAAGACTTTAGGGTTCCTGCGTTCCAATTTAATGGCTATCTCAGAAACGAGTAAGCAAATACCTTCAGATCGAGTGCAAGGATCTGGTGAGCCTGGATCGGAACAGGCATTGTCTTCGCAGAATCAAGCTGGACTACCTACCGAAAACATGTTCACCACTAGCAAGGACGAGGACAAGAAATTTGAGGTGAGCGAACAGCAAACTCTAGGCAACTTGGTCCAGTTACACTTTCTGAAATCAAAGAAATCACCCCAATGATAAAACTCAGAAATCTATAGTGTAGTTCGCTGCGGACGGTTGGGCGTGTCAGGCGGGATGAGTTTGGCGCGGTGCCAAACCCGTTCTCCACCAGTTGTTAAAGCGAGCAAATGATATGACTGTATCATATCGTTCGTATTACTCGTTTTCTACCACTTTTTGTCGCATGCGCGCTTCAACAAGAAGGCAGAGAACGGCTTTGACGGGGTGACACACTCATACTGCCTGACACGCCCAACCGTCGCAGCGAACTAGAGTGTAAGTCTCGGTGAGCGTAGCGGAAGTGTTGTCACGTGCACATCACTCGCATCGGGACCTAACTCATTCACGTGGCTATGCTGCATCATGTCATGACAGTTACCTTGGAAATGTAGTCTTCTTCTCAATGGATGTTGGTGCGTGTCGAGGGGGGGGGGATGGGTTCGACGCGGCGCGGCCATTTTCAAAAAATGTTTGTCGCTTGTTGTTGTTGTTGTTTCAACTTGTTGGATGGAGAGGAGTGCGGCATGACTTTACCTGGCTCTGACGCCCCAGCATCGGTAGGCGATGGAATATTCATCGTCTTGTATGAATTCCATGGCCGATATGTGTTCATTTGTGTTGCCACAACCAGAGGGGGTCACATAGCTGGACAGTGATCCTCAATCTTGGTGGATGTGAATTCCTAAACCCTTGGCTCCGATTTGAACAAAGGAATTGCTGTTCTCATTCAGGTTTTCCCAGAAGCAGCAATGAAGAGCGGCCCCATTTACAGAACAGCTCCAAAATACGAGGCGTACGTTTGTTTTTCAAATTTGTTCAATTCATTCTTCAGTAAAGAAGATTTTCCTTAGAGGGCCATTTTACAGTCGCATTTCTACCTGATGCAATTGCTACGGATAAAGGGGGGGGTGTCGAGAGGGGCTGGGCACGGCGCCAGTTACCCCTTCAATGACTGGAGAAGGGTGGGCTGGCGGCCCGTTAACCCCCGTCTCACTGATACTCCTCTTCACTCACAGCAATTAAGACCGCAAGTGCTCCCAAGCGCTGAGGGACTAATACATAGCTGTGATATCCTATGTAGGTCACCCACTTATAATTGGGATTCCCATTCTTATGGTCCTTACATTTGTATGGCTCGTGTTACAATTCTGTACAACCTGGGAGCCGATAGTAACGCCACATACTGTGTTCATTCTAGTGGTGCCTATCGATTCCATGCTATCACTGGTCAAGCACTCAACCAGCGACTGCAGACCTGTCGGGATTTGCAGCAGCAGAATATCAGTATGTATTTTAATATGGCAATTTTTACTTCCTAACTTGTTTACTATAATGTTAACTATTTGAATTATTCAAAGATTTTCAATTCAATAGCTTCTCAATGGCGTTTCAGTCAATCTCCAACCCCTACAATCACAGCTAACCGAAGCCTACGGACTCAGTCAATGTCCAGATAATCCAGCAGCGATTATCTCCGAATGTGGTGATTCCGTACCGTGCCAGTACGATTACACCACTCTCAACGCTAAGGTGAATTGCACACGTTTTTTTTTTGCTGAAATCTATAGTTGTGAAAAGGGAAGAGGCGGCTTATGGCCTTTTTAGAGACCAATCGCGACTGAAATTGGTGTAGTGGGGTCCACCGTAAAGAAAGAAATCGG